TTCTTCATGCCACTGTGTCTGTACCATTATTCATAGGGGCCATGGAGAGGCGTTTTTACCTGTTTATTCAGGTAAATCATGCTAAGAAAACTGCAGGCTGTAAGCATTTCCCATTTTCAGCTAACAAAATTAATAACTTTATCAATTGCAGGTAGTCTTCATGAGCCTATGTAAAAGTTTTTGGGACTGTGGACTTGTAGCCCTAGATGATATTACAGTACAATCAGGAAGCTGCTGGTCTCCAGGTAAGAAGGCAGTTATTTCACCTGCTTGTCTCCCTGGCACGTATGTGACCTTTCTAGTTTCTCTAAGAGCTTGGTGTACTTTATTTATGCCATGCTTTTCTTTTCTTGCTAGAAGCACCTCAATATACAGAACTTTGTAGTCTGCTTCAAAACTTAGAAATAATGGTTCATGGGTACTGTGCATCTTTGCACATGTGATTTCAGCCCCTTTTTGTAAGGGAGATGGTAGCACCTTCCTGAATATTGGGGATAATATATATATGTTCCCTGGTATAGGACCTAGCACAAAATGGTGCATTCAAAAAAATCTTCTATCTTAATCATCATGGTTAATATTGTTGTCATTTGCATCTCACAAAATGCATGTTTTACCTGGGTGTGGTGGCACACTTCTCTAATCCCAGCAATTGGGAAGCTGAGGCAGGAAGATTGCTGTGAGTTCAAGGCCAGCCTAGGCTACATAGCAAGACTCTGTGTCAAACAAACAAACAAACAAACAAAACAAGCATATTTTCAAGTCATATTAATGAAATTCTTAAAAAACATAAACATTCAAATATATTTAATGTTAATAAAATATATACTTTTAAAATGAATTAAATGACAATGAAACAGTAAACGAAGCACCAATGATAGTGACAAAATAAAGTCATGGTAGCCAGCTATGGATACAGTGTCCTATGACAAAATGTTCCATACCTCAATGTAGATCACTGAGCTTAATCTACTAATTATATTGCATCCTAAATCATGGAATAACTATTTCTTTTCTTTAAAAATAGAGAACTGTGTAGTACAGGACAGTAATAGCCATATTTATTTAATCAAAAGACAATTTGGAGTCCCCAGTAAGTTGTGGGGCGTGCTCTTCTAGGGTTGGTAATTCTTAAAATTTACCCTTTAGTACAAATAATTATGCAAGTTATTAAAGATAGATTCAAAGACAAATATTTCTCCTTGAAAATGGTAAATAATACCCTAGCAAAATAATAATTCCTAATATTTGTCTTGCCAATAATTATTAAGAACTTTGTGTTTAAATACTTTATACAGAGCATGTCATTTAACCCTCACAAACTGCATGAATGTTCCCGCATTGTTCATAAGAATGCTGAGAGTCAGAGAAATTAAACCCCTTGCTGTACATAGCTAAGTCTCCAGAACTCTGTTTGGTTCTTTCATATGTCTTCTTCCCTTCCAAAGCAGGTGTAGAATTGCTATGAGGATGTCCTTCACTCATCCCAGACTTCTAAAGACAGCTCCTGCATTATGCAATTAGATTATTTTTCATATTTTCATAAAGGCAGTACACCTCCAGTTTTCAGAGTTTTGCGAGCTCATTCTCCCAAATACCTTTACCACATGGGAAGTGTCTTTCTCACAGTATCCCAATATTAAATGTAGCATTTTGACTGTTCTCTACGCCTGTGGCAGGAGCCATGGCGGGCCACAGATTGTAGCTGGAGGTCCAACCATGGTATATGGGCTGCCCTCAGGGTGGGCGACCGCCTCTCCACTGTGACATGTGACCAGACAACATTCAGACATATGGTGCAAACTCCCAGGGAGCGTGGCATGCACATTCACTGAAAGTGTCTCAGGGATTACAACACCTGCTGTTTCCTTGCAGAGAGCCTCCCACCTCCACCTGGACAATGCACTTTTGATCAAGATGAATGTGCCTTTACTCAGGAGAAGAGAAACCGGAGCAGCTGGCACAGGAAGCGAGGAGAAACTCCCACTTCCTACACAGGACCAAAGGGAGATCACACTACTGGGGTAGGTGAGTGAGTTATGCCACACAGTGCCATTTCTTAAGGAAACCTCCCAGAGTAGCATCCTAGGTTGTTTGCTGCATTTTGAAATGTGTAAATTTGGGCTGGGAATTTAGCTCAGTGGTTCTGCTGCCTGTCTTGCAAGTGCAAGGTCCTGAGTTTGATCCCCAGTACCAAAAAAAAAAA